CGGTCTCTGTCTGAACAGGAAACTTGATCTTTTTATGATTTTGAGTTTTGTTCCACATTTTCTTCCATTCTACCAGGACCTTCTAAGGAAAGATCCCTTTCATCACAGTTGTAAGTGGTGATCAGGTACCATTTAGTTCCTCTGATCTCAGGGTCCATTGATGTTCACATGGTCCATTAGTCCATTGGACTAATTATTGCCCAGAGCCTTCAGTTTTCATCACTCTTCTTTCCTCTGCTCTGCACATGGAGAGACCAGTAGATGCACCTTAGATGGCCACTCATGAGCTTTTAAGATCCTAGTTGTTACTCAACAAAGTAGGTTGTACGACATTGTCTTGTGGACTATGTCGTGTCAGTTGACCATGACCAACCATCAGGTCTTTAAAACAGTGATTTTAATATGATAAGAATGTTGCCAGATATATACAAAAATAAAGAAAATAGTATAGTGACACTCACAAGCGTTACCTCGATGATTTCCCCACATTTGTTCCAAATGTTTCCTTTTCTTCCCCTTTCTACACCTTATGTTTTTGGAGACTCCTGAGATTCTCTTCTGAGAATGATGTGCTGAGAAATGCCCTGTCATTTGTTTATAGTTCCCCAGTGGTACTTTAGATCTAGCCTCCTAGCCATTCTCTGTGTCAGGGTAGTAGATTTAACAAGGATCTGGATTCGCAGTTTCCTTGTCTCCAGTGTAGTATCAGTTCTGGTATGTAGACCAGGCTCCGCTCTGTGGCAGTGCTTGGGAACTGCACTTTCACCAGTAGCTTGGAAGAGAAAGTAGATTGTCATTCCTGTCCACTGAATGCAGAAGTTGTGTGAGCTTTTTTTCTTCCTTCCCTTATCTGCCCCATTTTTTGTCTTTGAATGGGAAGATACTGAATGTAGGAGGCCAATTAAAACTCGTACTGTGAAATTTAATGGCATGCAGCCAACAAACCTATTCCTGTTATTTTAATGTAATTGTTGTTGTTAATGCCTTTGAGAGGGCTCCAACTTGACCCTGTATAGAGTTTCTGAGGAGCAGCCGGTGGATCTGAACTTCTGACCTTGTGATTTGCAGTCCAGTGCGTATCCTACGGTGCCACACTGGGAGTCCTTACAGTATAATGGTTATGTGCCGTGGAGTCGGAACCGGGAGTTGGAACCAACTCAGAGCGACCCTGTACAGGGTTTCCTAAGGCTGTAAATCTTTACAGGACCTGAAAGCCTCTTCTTTCTCCTGCGGAACAGCTGGTAGTTTCAAAGTGCTGACCTTGCGGTTCGCAGCCTGATTCGTAACCACTACGCTACCAGTTTAATACTCCAGTTTAATACTCTCTAGTTATTAGGGGCTTTTGAAAATTATTCATATCAGGGAAATATCCCAGTCTGAATGGGAGCTTCCCCGATCCTAAACTTTCCCCACAACTCCTAGCAACTTTAAAAAGACAAGTGTGTTAGTCCTTCTTGGAAGGTATCCTGCTCCTTGAAGCAGAAGCTTCCCTTTCTTCTGGCGCTGGTCCTTCTCTGTGCATGTTTTCATGCCATACCTGGAAAGCACTTTCCTTTCTTCATTTCCCATCTCAGTGATTGTGTCTCCCTTCCTGCCCTGCCACCTCTGGACCGCCTCTACTATCTAGTACCGTGCAGTACTAGGCTTGTTCATTTTTCTTTGCTCTCTGCTATGGAATCTCTTTCCTGGGCTGTGGTTGAGAATATTCCTAGCTTCGGGAGAGAGACCATTTTGTGGCAAATTACTGTGGCTGTGTGTTCTCAAATGAATGGACACATACGTAGTCCCTCTGCATTCCTGCAGTCTTAGCACCTGGCGTTTTACAGCTTTGAGTAACCGTGGCATTGGCACTTCATGTATGGCGCTATGGACCACAAGGTCGGCAGTTCAAACTCACCAGCTGCTCCTTGGAAACCCGATACATGGTTGCTGTGAGTTGCAACTGACTCGATGGCACTCAACAACAACACATTTAGTACTCAGCCCTCCCACCCTGACCTCTACCACTCTCCTCAACACAGTTACTGGCATATTGTATAAAAGGCTTTGAGCCCTTTTGAGGGTAGTGACCCTAATAGCACATAGTTGTTGTTGTTGTGAAGTGTCATTGAGTCAGTTCTGCCCCATAGCGACCTTTTGAAGGATTTCTGAGGAGCAGCTGGTGAATTTGAACTGCCGACCTTGCAGTTCAAATGGCTTTGCAGTCTGGTGCATTAACCCACAGTGCCACACCAGGACTCCAGTAGCACATAATAGGTACTCCATAAATAATTTTTTTAACAAATAAGTAAACAAGAACAATTGGCTAGAGGGTTTTAAGTGGTGAAAAATAAGACTTTGGCATAGATCTAGCTGGAGGGCTTTGAATACTGGGCAAAGAAACTTCAGAATGCTATAAGTAACTGGGAGCCATTTTGTTTTACTTTTGTATCTCTTTTAGACATGTGGGGAATGTGGTGGCTCCATAGGATAAGTACTGGACTGTGAACCACAAGGTCTGCAGTTCAAACCCAACAGCTGCTCCATGGGAGAAAGATGAGGCCTTCTGCGCCTGCAAAGATTTAAAAGCCTCGGAAACCTTATACAGGGTCACTATGAGTTAAAACCAACTCCACAACCCTTAACAACAACAGCAACAGCAGAACTCAGTCATATACCTACACAAAAGGACACAAATCTTGAATGTACAGCTCAGTGAGTTTTTGCATATGTACAGTGGTCTTCACAGACAAATTATGAAAACAGATTGCCGTGAAGATAAAATGTGGATATAAGTTTCCAGAAATACTAACAATGAATTTGTCAAAAAAATAATTAGTAGGATAAGCACTAAACTGCCAACTACAAGGTTGGCAGTTCAAACCCACTGGCTGCTCTTGAAAGCCCTATGAAGGGTTGCTATGAGTCTGAACCTAGTCAAAGACACTCAACAACAAAATCAATGCTTGCCATTGTTGGCAAAGTGGCAGTGTTTTTACAACATTAAGGTGTTTCAAGAACTAAGACATCCAAAGAAAATATGAAACTTCTACCACCACTAAAAGGAAAAACAATTTAAATGAAACTCAGTGTTGCTTAAACCAATAATTTTTTAAATGTGTTAATGTCTTAATTCACTCTTGTAAAGCAGAATGCCCTCAGATTGAAAGAATTCTAACTATTATGCACGACTTTCACATTTCTAAGATTCTATTTGATATTTGTACATTCATTATGTTTTTCATAATGAATGTACAAATAAAGTGGCAGGGGCAGTTCAGCACATGAATTGGAAGTTCTCAATGCAGATAGGATTTTACAAGATCACAGTGTGGTAAGAAGTATCAGATTCCTGTGAAGCAACAGGAATCTAATGGTAAAAAAGAAGAAAATGTATTATCAACAACCTTGCTTGGTAAAAGACTGCCATTTTAAATTGATTAAACTAGTGGATACAGAGAATATTGTTTCCAGAGTTTGTAATTATTGAAGATGAGTGGGTGCCAAAAATAAGTTCAGGATTGTTTTGATACCTCTTTATTTTTAAATTGACGGGTGAGTGTGGATGGGAGGGTATTCTATTATAAGCTGTTCCTGTTGGTAAATATTTCTTTTACAGACTTTGTTTAATGAATCCTGCATTTAAGTGAAGCCACCAAAAAGGAAGTAGGATTATAGATAAATAGAATTATGTGATATGATTAATCCTAAAATATAAATACAGTGTGAAAGTGCCCTTAAAAAGTAATAATAAAGTTTGTATGTAACAACGTGGTAGTAGCAGGCAGATGAATACACATATCCCCACCCCACCTCCCAGGACCCGTGGCTGCCTCTTTACTGTCCTGTTGAGAATACCTACTTCTGAGTGGCTCTCTGGTATTTGCATAGGTCACCATGGCAGGGTTTGTCATTTGAGGGTGCTGTTTCTCTAGAGCCAGCAGGTCCAACTGATGAATGACCAAACTCCTTGGCACTGGTTCCTAGCACTAAGCTGTCTTCCTTCACGATATTATTCCTCAGATTTTATAATGATCCAGTGGGAAATGGGCTTTGAGGAAGTTAGTTAAGAGGAGAGCAGACAAGATCCTTAGAACAAAAGAGCGATAATATCTGCGCCCTAGTTATGTGTGCTCCTGGAATTCCTCTTCTTGTTTTACTTTCTAAACATTTTTTTAAATTGTGAAATGTAATATATGTTGTTGTTAAGTGCCATAGAGTCGGTTCCGATCCATAGTGACCCTTCATAGGGTTTCTGTAGAGCAGCTGGTGAGCTTTGAGCCACCAAACTTGATGTTCAAACTGACCTTTGAAGGTCCAGCGCATTAACCCACAGCACCATACCAAGACTGCATTTAATAAGCTATTTCCCTTTTGCTCGGATACCTTAATTGGCTTGTCTTTTGGGAGATAACAGTAGGTGATCTTGATAAGGGAAGGAAAGAGAAATCGAACTTGGGATAAAAATAAACCAACCCAGAAATAACAGAATAAGTTTGAAACCTCTGCAAATGAAAAAAAATCCTGAATTAACGTTTCCTTATATAACACAATGATAATGGAAAAGGGAATAAGACAAAACTCTTTAAGGTGGAAGAAAAAGTCAAGGGATGAAATCTCCCAGGACTCTTTTTTGTTGTCTCCATTTGTCTGTAAACCTACTTTTGTTCTTCGGAATGATGCTTACCACTTCGTTGAAAATTCAGATAGGGCTAAATTATAACTGTTTTCCTAAAACTTGAGATTCTAGATTCTTAAGCAAAAATAAGTGAATCTCTTTTAAAAAGGCAGTTGGTTATTTGTAATCTTCTTGCGTATTTCAGATATGAAAACTGAGCGATATTTAGTATATTTTTCCCCATGGAAGTCTCTGAAGAAATTTCATTTATTGGGGAATTGACATAGTTGGATAAACCTCATTTCAATGAAAATATCTTTATAAATTGTTAGAGCAGTGGAATTTGATAAACAAAGTTGCATCAGCATGTGGATGGGCGAGTGAATATAAATTTTAAAGTAAGGTTCTTTTTTTTACAGTCCTATTTTGTAACGGATTATGATCCAACCATTGAAGATTCCTATACAAAACAGTGTGTGATAGATGATAGAGCAGCCCGGCTAGACAGTAAGTCATCTTTCTGTATTTGATAGTTTACGTATCGTATTTAAAAAGTGAACAATATTTTGCTAAATAATGTTAAATAATGTAATTGAAATATTAGATCATCTAAATGTAAGTCCATCTCTTTCATTAGTATTGATTGATGAATCTACATAGTTGGCCACTTCAATATTTGGGAAGGAGAAACAAGTCTTATCATTGTAACTTGTTGGAATTCTATATATTAGAACATTTGGAAAAAACATGTCGGGTCCCAATTCTCCTTCTCTTTTGGTGAAGACTGAAAATGAGTGACGTGAATATAGAAAAGTTCAATATTTGATAACTCGTTTAGAATTTATAGGACAGAGGCTTGTGAAAATAAGAGTTTTGGTTAAACTTCCCACCTCCTCAAAAAGAAGTGTCATGCTCTTTAATTTGTATGGTTCTTCTGTTCTCAGAGATAATGACACAAGTACATTAGTACTGCTATGCTAAATATGGTGTTGGGGGTAGAACCAAACTTTCTTTCTCAAATTTACAGGTATCTTTTTTAATCCTCCCCACTTGGAGAGGAAAAAGTGCCTTCAGAGGCTTACCTGACTCCCGTTACCTAGATGGGTGTGATGTTTTTAACCTGGTAATTGGTTAGTTAATACATTCTAACCACTAAAACAATCTGTCCTGATGAAGATAAACTCTGAAACGGGTTGTCACTAGAAGATATTTTTGTTTTTTTTTTTATTATATTAAGTGTGATGCTTCTTAGAGGATCCCCATTAATTGGGCATGCCCTGGCGGGGAAGCCATATATAAAATGAAACCCAAACACAGTTACCATTTTTTTTTCTCCTTTAGTTCTGGATACAGCAGGACAAGAAGAGTTTGGAGCTATGAGAGAACAGTACATGAGGACTGGCGAGGGTTTCCTGTTGGTCTTTTCAGTCACAGATCGAGGCAGGTTGGTACCACAATTAAAATACGGATCTGTTGTTCATGTCTAGATTCCTACTTCATTGAATTTGGGCTTTTCTTGTTTTTATAGAAAAAAAGAAAAGTAATAAAGCACTAGAATGACATGGAACATGACTGAAATCTGATACTTGCCCAAATGGATGTGTTTTATTTTTGTTTTGTTTTAGCTTTGAAGAAATCTATAAATTTCAAAGACAGATTCTCAGAGTAAAGGATCGTGATGAGTTTCCCATGATTTTAATTGGCAATAAAGCAGATCTGGATCATCACAGACAGGTGAGAAGGAATTTAGCTGTTGGGAATGAATTGTTTAATTATGCAAGTTGAACAAATGAAAGTGCCATTGATTTAAAAACAAAAAAAGTACTATATGTTACTGAGCTTGGCATACTGGATGTTATGGAAGTCACCAGAACAAACCAACAAACCCTCTGCTGGCAAGCTGGTTCCAATTCATCGCAATCTTATAGGACAGAGTGAGAACTCCATAGGGCTCCCAAGGCTATAACTCTTTACAGGTGCAGACAGCATCATCTTTCACCCTTGGAGCAGCTGGTGGATTTGAACTGCTGACCTCGAGTTTGTAGCCTAATACTTAACACACTGTGTCACCAGGACTGCACAGAAGTCACAATAGGCAAGAAAGCAAATGGAAGTAGATTTTGGGAAATTACATTTTCACATAAAGGAACTCTGGTAGCGTGGTGGTTACGAATCGGGCTGCGAACCTTAAGGTCAGCGGTTCGAAACTACCAGCCGCTCCGCGGGAGAAAGATGAGGCTTTCTACTCCCGTAAAGATTTACACCCTCGGAAACCCTGTACAGGGTCGCTATGGGTCGGAACCGACTCGAAGGCACTTAACAACAACAACAATACACAAAGGAGCTCTAGTAGAGTAGCGGTTACGAATTGGGCTGCTAATCTCAGTTCGAAACTACCAGCTGCTCCATGGGAGAAAGATGAAGCTGTCTACTGCCATAAAGATTTACAGCCTAGGAAACCCTGTACAGGGTCACTATGAGTCGGAACTGACTCAATGGCACATAACAACAACAACATACACAGATCTTCAGAGAACTTATCAAGCCTACATTGATGATCTCTAACACCAGTAATTTACAAGAAAATAGTATTTTTAGTATCTAGCTTCAGTCTAATGTCCTCTTTTTTTTTTTTTTTTTAATGCAATCATTTCAAATGTATTATTTGTATTTTGGCATATATTGTACACTGTGATCTTTCTGCTGGGGGGAGGAGAACAACCAAAAAGTAGGATGTTTGGGTTCAACCAGAGATTTCCTCAGAAGAAAGGCCTTGATGATCTAGTTCAAAGACAACGGCCATTGAAAACCCTAAGTACGGATCACAGCTCTACTCGGACACACATGGGTCACCAGGATTGACTCAGCAGCATCTGGGAGTTTTAGTGTAAAATAAATCAGATTATGTAAGAGATAAGGCTTAGTATTCACCGTCTCTATAAAAATTCTCTGGGTTGAAGGACCGCTGGGAAACATTTGTGTTAGTTTCCTATCTTTTGTCGATTTCTGACTTCACAGTGCAGTGGTTTTGCCTTATGTGGTATCCTTTTTGTTTGCTTTGGTGGCAGAGATGCAGTTCTACTTGTTAATTAAGATGATGCTACATCGGCGAGCTCAAAAGCAGCTTTATGTGTGGTTAGAGATTTCTTGATCAGAAATGTATCCACAAACTTTACAGTCTTTGATTCCTGGAAGACAGTGATATGAAACCACACTTTAAAAATAAAGAAGTGTAAGTGGCCTAACGGTGGTCTTATTTTAGTATTAAGATAGTCATTTGCCTTTCCTCTCTAGCTGAATTGCATTATACATGCTGGGTAAAATAAGGTATATTTTTGAGAAGTAATAGGGCAAAAGACAAATTCAAAGTTCTTTAGGATACATATTTTCCTTCTGTTGAAAATTTTGTCTTACTGAAGTGAGTAATGTAGTGAGCTTGACTTGTTTCCATATTTATTGACATTGAAGCACACTTCTAGGCTCTGGGTATACAAAGACACTTGTGCTTTCCTCTGGAACCTCAAACAACTTACTATAATAGTAGAGAAGAAAAAGCAATACCCACAATTTTATATTTGTGACTTGTTAAGGATTTTGTAAGTGTTAGCCCTAGGGTGGATAGAAACTATAAAATCGGATCAAAACTATAGCAAAGGCTGATGACTTGAGTCGTGAAGGATTAATAAGAGTTAATTGGATGATATAAGAGTACAGGGTTGAGCAAGAAGAGATCACATCCCTGGAAGATGGACCAGAATTTGTAACAGAATGGTAATATTTCCACAGGAAAACATTTCTCATGTCAAATTTTCTTAAGATAGAAATGGTTCTTTCTAAACCGGTGCTTCTGAAACTTTCTCTTAGCTTTCTTGCTTATGTTAATCGCTTACTTGATTTGATTGGTTCATATTTTAAAACCTTAGGTCTTATGGTTCAAATGTCATTTTGAAGGAAGGCAGGGTAAATTTTTTAAATGGCACAAACTTGAATATATCAATATTGTGTTGTGTTGTTGTTAAGTGCTGTTGAGTCAGTTCCTACTCATAGTGACCCTGAATATGGTTTCTGAAGCCTCAGCAGCTGGTGGGTTTGAACCACCAAGCTTGTGGTTAGTAAGCCAGTGTTTATCCTACAGTGCCACACTTTTGTCTGCCACTCTTTTACGATGTAATAGGGCATAAACCTATTATGAAATAATTGTTAAATGTTATATACATTATTGTAATAACTTAGTAATATGTTGAAGTGGCTGACTTGTGGGAATGAAGTATTAAATTGGGGTTGGAATCGTAAATTAAACTGAGAAAGGATTAGAGAGAGCAATACCTAGAGCTCAAATTGGGCCTAAAATAATTACTAATCCCAGTCAGCCAAAGTGGAAAACCTCATAGTTCTTGGGGTATTGGGATTATGTCCTAGCAGTGGGGCAAAAAGAAGCACCAGGGGCACAATGGTTAAGTGCTCAGCTGCTAACTGGAAGGTTAGGGTTAAACCAGCCACTTTGTGGGAAGAAGATGTAGTAGTCTGAAGCCTCAAGATTTATAGACTGGGAACATCTTATTGAACATTTCTGTTCTGTCGTAGCTATAGTCACTATGATTCGGAATGGACTTAATGACAGTGGGTTGTGTTTTGGATTTACTGAGGCAAAAGTAGCCTGATGTTCGTAAAACCTAAAGCATCACTGGAAATATCCAGCTGTTTACAAATAACTGCATCCCAGGAGAAGGTTCAGTAGTATGTATAGGAATACAAAATATCCAGTATCAAACAGGTAAAATCCAGCATCCAGGTAGCCACTCAAAAGTACTCGGCATGCAGAGAAGTTGGGAAACATGGCCCATAATAAAGAAAAAGTGATCAATAGAAACAGGCCCAGAAATGACACAGATGATAGAATTAATGGACAAAGACATGGAAACAGTTCAAGAAGCAATGTGAAAGACTGGCTATGTTAAGTTAGAGACATGTTGTTAGTGACAACTCATAGTGACACAACAGAACACTGCGTGGTCCTGTACTATCCTCACAGGATAGGACACAAAAAGTTATTTTGTTTGAGTCCATTGTTGCTGCCACTGTGGACTCATTGGAACTTTCCCTCTTTTTTGCATGTTGTCCTTTCCCAGGGACTGGTCCCTGACAACATGTCCAGAGTACGTGACACCAAGTCTTACCACCCTCACTTCTAAGGAACCTTCTCACTGCATTTCCTCCAAGGCAGATTTTATTTGTTTGTTCTTTGGGCAGTCCATGGTCCTTTCATTATTCTTTGCCAACACCATAGCTCAAATGCGTCACTTCTTTTTCTCCAGTCTTCCTTATTCACAGAGCAGCTTTCACATGCATATGAGGTATGCATACCAGGTGACATCTCTGCTCTTGAACACTTTAAAAGAGGTCTTTTGTAGTAGATTTGCAGTGCATTATTCGGTATCTTGACTGTTGTTTCCATGAATGTTTATTATAGATCCAAATAAAATGAAGTCTTTGATAACTTCAATATTTTCTCCATTTACCCTGATGCTGTCTATTGATCCATTTGTAAGGATTTTTGTTTTTTAACATTGAGTTGTAATCAACACTGACGACTGTAGTCTTTGATCTTCATCAGTCAGTAGAGACGGAATATATAAAAGGATCCAAATCAAACTGTTAGTAATTAAAACTATAATGACTGAGACAAAAACAGCACTGATTAGGATTAACAGCACCTTGTACGTGTTGTCAGGAGGGATTAGTCCCTGAAGAAGGACGTCATGCTTGGTAAAGTAGAGAAATCAGCAGAGAAGAGGAAGACCTTCAACAAGATGGATTGACACAGTGCCTGCAACATTGGACTCGCATGACAATTGTGAGGATAGTGTAGGGCCAGGGAGTGTTTCGTTCTGTTGTACATCAGGTCTCTATGAGTCAGAACTGACTCAATGACACCTAACTGCAACAACAACAACAACAACAACAACAACAGGTTTAACAGCAGAAAGAAATGGCCAAATACAATGAAAACTATAAGCATACGTATTTTAAAAACTCAATGAGTTCCAAAGACAAGAAATATGGAGAAAAATATCCTAAGGCACAGCATAATGGAATTGCTTAAAACCATTGAGAAATAGAAATCTGGAAGAAAAAACAAAATAGAGTTGGCTGAAAATTGGGTTAGTGAAGAAAAGCATTATATATAAAAGATCAAAAATCAAAATGACAGATAGTGGAATAGTGGGTTTTAAGAACTGAAATCCAACAAAGAAAACATCAACCTAGAAATCAACAACTACAAAACAAATTATTTCAGAATGGAAGCTGAGATAAAGCCTTTTCCACCCATATAAAAGGAGAATTAGATAAATCAAATGTAATTGTTAATGCTGTACCTCACACACAAATCTTTTGGAATTTCAGATAACCCAGGAAGAAGGACAGCAATTAGCACGGCAACTGAAGGTAACGTATATGGAGGCTTCTGCAAAGATTCGGTTGAATGTCGATGAGGCTTTCCATGAACTTGTCCGGGTTATAAGGTAAGCAAAACACATTGTAGAAGTTTGACTCAGCTCATCATATTTGAACATCTAATCAAACTAACAACGGCAACAAATTACCTTGAAATATTTTTGGCAAGAAAAGAGGAAAGTAGATGTGATTCTTATCTATAGTGATTCTGGTCTAGGGGTTAATCCAAATGGTGTATAAAAATTTTTAATGGAGTACATACTACATTTTAGGCACTTCCTCTGTATGCAGTCTTGTTTAATTATATTAGTATAGAAGGTATACAGGGATTTTGAAAAGAATAATGCAGCTTCCAAAGGTGGTACTGGTATGATGCTAGTGATGATAACAGCTAACATTTGAGTGGTGGTCTGCACCAAATATGAGGGGGCTTCAAAAATTTTGTGGGAAAGTTCTGTTATCTTTTAATTCGTTTTTTTTTTTCACTAATTTTTTGAAGCCCACTCATACTGTGCAATCCTTACTACAACCAAATAAGTCAAATGATATTTTCTATCTCCACTTTCAGATGAGAAAATTGAGTAGCAAAGCAGTTAAATAACTTGCTCAAGGTGTACATATATGAAACAGCAGAGCTGAGACTTGAATACAAATCTCTTGGATTCTTAAGGTGATGCCCTTAGCCTTGCTTCTTATCTGACTCTTCCCAGGATAAGAGGCAGTAGAGATTGTAGTCTCACAAGGAGTGACATATAATATTCCAGACTACAAGAAGATTTTTGTGTGATGGTCTAGGGAAACATCTGTGGTTCAGCCACTTTCGGTGATGGGCGAGGTCTGCTGGGGTTGTTATGTAAATGTTTGTGTGTGAGAAAGAGTAGGTTGCATTAGGGATGGGCTTGACGTGATCATTTTGGATCTTGGTGTCCTCCTTATGCTCTGGTCTAAATCAGCTGGCTTTCTCAGCTAATTAGATAGTTTGGTAGATGTGTGAGACTAGTTTTGTTTATTGTGAATTTAGGGTGGATTAATGTTTGGTAAGGTGGAGGGTCAGAGAAAAAGAGGGAGACTCCCCAATGAGATAGATTGGCCAAGTGGCAGCATCAATGGACTCAAGCGTGGCAACAATCCTAGTGGCCCAGGATCAGGCAGTGTTTCGTTCTGTTGTGCATAAGGTTGCTATGAGTCAGTACCGACTCAATGGCACCTAACAACAACAACAGCAGCCTGAACTGTGGGTTTCCTGGACTTAGACCCTTGCCACCGGAGCATTCTTTTAGTAGAGACTTAAAAAAACAAACAGAGAACAACAGTGAAGATTTAGATGACAGATTTTTGTGTCTTAGTCGGTTGTTAAAAATCCCCATCCTTTTATAAACTATGGATGAGCCAGTGCCTACTTAAAATAATTCTTATTGCCTCCTTGAAGCATTTTGTCTTTGGTTTGATTTTTCTTCAGAATCTATCAGGAGTGAGGGAGGGGTAGAGAGGGTTGTGTTCCAGGCACTGTTGTTGTTCAGTGCCATTATGTTGGTTCCGACCCAAAGTGGCTCTCTATAGGGTTTCTGATGAGCGGCTGGTAAGCTCGAACCATAGACCTTGTGGTTTAAACCAGCTTTGCAGTCTAGTGCATTAACCTACAGTACCAACACCAGGTCTCCTGCCAGGCACTAGTTGTTGTTGTTGTTAAGTGCCGTGGAGTCGGTTCCTACTCATAGCGACCCTACACAGGGTTTCCAAGGCTGTAAATCTTTACGGGAGCAGATCGCCTCATCTTTCTCCCGCAGAACCATTGGTAGTTTCGAACTGCTGACCTTGTGGTTCACAGCCCGATTCGTAACCACTACGCTACCAGAGCTCCTTGCCAGGCACTAGTAGGCATTTAAATAGAACATAATTTGTAATCCTCACAACTGTGAAGGGTAGGTTTTTCTTACTCCTTTCTAAAAAGCTAAGTCTCAGAGAAGTCAGCTAACTTATCTGCTCCTGACAGGACTAATAAGCGCCGGCACAGGGATAACTGCATACCTCATAAACATAATTTCATCTTGTTCTCTAATGGTACTCCACCACTCATCTGCCATTTTGTCGTACTGTGGTGGCTTGCGTGTTGCTGTGATTCTAGAAGCTATGCCTCAGGTATTTTAAATACTAGCAAGGTTACCCATGGTAGACAGGTTTCAGCTGAACTTCAGACAAAGACAGACAAGGAAGAAAGAGAGATGGACTACTTCCGAGTATTTGCTCACTGAAAACCTTATGAATAGCAGTTGGACACTGTCAGCATCAGAATATTGAATATTTAAACATGATGAAGTACACCAGAATATTGTCAGATACAGTGTCGGAAGATGAATCCCTTAGATTGGAAGGCACTTAAAATATGACGGGGGAAGAGGTGCCTCCTCAAAGTAGAGCTGACCATGATGATGTGAAGGTAGTAAAGCCTTTAGGACCTTCATTTTTTGATGAGGGGGCAAAACTTAAAGAGAAACAGTTGTAAGTATCCATTAATAATCGCAACATGGCATGTATAAAGTAGGAATCTAGGAAAACTGGAAATCGTTAGAAATTAAATGGAACACATAAACAACAATATCCTGGGCATTGGTAAGTAGAAATGGAGCTGTGTTGGCCATTTTTAGTCTGACAATCACAGGGTTTACTATGCCAGGAATGATAAATTACAGAGGAATGGCATCACATTCATCATCAAAAAGAACATATCAAAATCTGTCTTGAAGTACAACACTGTCTGTGTTAGGATACTATCCATATGCCTACAAGGAAGACCAGTTAATACCACTATAATTCAAATTTAGACACTAACCATAAAGCCAGTGATTGATACAATTGAAGAATTCTTCCAGCTTCTTCAGTCTGAAATTAATCAAACATGCAGTCAAGATGTGTTGATAATTACTGGTGATTGGAACGCACAGGTTGGAAACAAAGAGGAAGGATCAGTAGTTGGAAAATATGGCCTTGGTGATAGTAATGATGCTGGAGATCACATGATAGAATTTTGCAGGAATAATGACTTCATTGCAAATACCTTTTTTAAACAACATAAAAGACAATTATACACATGGACCTCACCAGATGGAATACACAGAAATCAAATTGACTATATTTGTGGAAAGAGACGGTGGAGAAAAGTTCCATATCATCAGCCAAAACAAAGGCCAGGAGCAGACTGGAACAGACCATCAGTTGCTCATGTACAAGTTCAGGCTGAAGCTAAAGAAAATGAAAACAAGTCCATGAAAGCCAAAATATGGCCCACTTGAATTTAGAGATCACCTGAAGAACATATTTGATGCATTCAAAATTAAAGACCAAAGACCTGGAGTTGTGGGGATGACATACAGAACATCATACAGGAAGAAAGCAGTGAGGTCATTAAGAAGATAAGAATGAAGGAAAAGACCAAAATGGATGCCAGAAGAGACTCTGAAACTTGTTCTCCAGCATAGATATGCTCTAAAGCAAATGGAAGAAATGAGGTGAAAGAAACTAAATAGAAAATTTGAAAGAGCAACTTGAAAAGACAAGACCAATTATTATAAAGAAATGTGCAACAATAGGGAGTTAGAAAACCCAAAGGGCAGAACAGGCTCAGCCTTTCTTAAGCTGAGGGAACTAAAGAATAAAAAATTAAGCCTCGACTTGCAATATTGAAGGACTTTATAGGTAAAATATTGAATGATGCAGAAAGCATCAAAAGCAGATGGAAAGAATTCAAATAATCACTGTACCAAATGGTCGATCTTCAATGATTTTAAGAGCCAGTGAAACTGAAGGAAGAAGTCCAAGGTGCATTGAAAGCATTGTCAATGGCAAAGAACAAGGCACCAGGAGTTGATGGAATTCAATTTGAAATCTTTCAGCAAACTGATGCGGCACTGGAGGCATTCACTCATCATGCCAAGCTATTTGGAAGACAACTACCTGGCCAATTGACTGGAAGACATCCATATTTGTGCCCTTTCCAAAGAGAGGTGACCCAACACAATGCAGAAATCATCAGACAATATCATTGATATCACTTGCAAGTAAAATTTTGCTAAAGATAATACAAAAATGCTGCAACCATACATTGACAGAGAACTTCCAGAGGTTAAAGCTAGATTCAGGAGAGGATGTGGAATGAGTGATATATATCATTGCAGATGTCATATGGATCTTGGCTAAAAGCAGAGAATACCAGAAAGAATACCTGTGTTTTATTGACTACAAAAAGACTTTCTACATAATTGTGTGGATTATGACAAGCTATGGGCAGCATTGCAGAGAATGAATAGGCCTGAACATTTAATTGTGCTTCTTGGCCTACCAGTACCTAGACCAAGAGGCAGCTTTTCAAACAGAACAAGATAACACAGAATGATTTAAAATTGGAAAGGTGTACCACAGAGTTGTATTCTTTGACCGTACTTTTTCACCATACTTATTCAATCTGCATGCTGAGCAAATATTTTGAGAAGCTGGATTATGTGAAGGAAAATAACATCAAGATTAGAGGATGATTCATTAACAACCTGTGATATTCAGATGGTACAACCTTCCTTGCTGAAAGCTAAGAGAACTTAAAATACTTACTGATGAAGAACAGAGATCACAGCCTTTGGTATGGGTTGCACCTCAATGTAAAGAAAATAAAAATCCTTACCACAGTACCAATCAACAACATCCGTATAAATGGAGAAAAGATTGATGTTGTCAAGGATTTCATTCTTCTTGGATTAACATACTGCATTATGCAAATCTGCTGCACAAGACCTCCTTAAAGTGTAGAATAGCAAAGATGTCAGCTTGAGGACTAAGGTGCACCTGACCCTAGCCATAGTATTTTCAATACCCTCATATGCATGTGAAAATTGTACAGTGCTAAGGAAGACCGTAAGGAGCTCTGGTAGCGAAGTGGTTATGAATCAGGCTATGAACCGCAAGGTCAGAAGTTCGAAACTACCAGTTGTTTCGCGGGAGAAAGATGAGGCTTTCTGCTCCCGTAAAGGTTTACAGCCTCAGAAACCCTGTACAGGGTTGCTATGAGTCAGAACCGACTCCACGGCACATAACAACAAGGAAGACTGTAGAAGAATTGATGCATTTGAGTTAATGGTGTTGGAGGAGACTACTGAAAGTACCATGGACTGCCCAAAGAACAAATCTGTGGAAGAAGTACAGCCAGAATGCTTTTTGGAAGCTAAGATGGCCATACTTCATCTCTCATACTTTGGACATATTATCAAGAGAGACCAGTCCTTGGATAAGGATATCATGTTTGGTAAAGCGGAGAATTGGAGAAAAAGAAGACTCCCAATGAGATGGATTGGCACAGTGGCAGTAGAAGTGTGCTAAGGTGTAGCAATGATTGTGAGGTTGGCACAGGACCTGGCAGTGTTTCATTCCATTGTGCATAGGGTTTCTGTGAGTCAGTATTGACTTTATGGCACCTAACAACCAGAACAACAGTGATGCTATCCTTCATTATATATGCAGAGCTGAACTGCACCATTTTGGTTTCAAGTATGTGACCTTTCCCAGGGTGATCTCCAGGTCTGTCTTTTGAGGTGTCTGTGGGTGGGTTTGAACAACTGACATTTGGGCTTAGTAGTTAAGCAAGCTATTAACTATTTGTACTACCAGGGACTCCTAAGTATATACCTTAGAGTCTCACAGAATCTCATACTGGGAGGAGAGGATCTTAGTCGTTAACTGAGTGTGGCATCTCATCTGATTCAGGAGTTTCTGATTAAAGCAACTCAGCTCTGCTTATGTTGGTATTAAAGCTTTTTCTTTTCTCTTTTTTTGCAAAGATTTGCTTTGATTCCCTCGTTGAAATGTAGCATTGAAAATCTTGTGCACTTAAACTAGACTTGTCCAAAAATAACCTGCATTTAGAACTGTAGATTGCCAAGAAGGCAATTACATTTAGATTTTTTTTTTTTCTATCTTACAGGAAATTTCAAGAGCAAGAATGCCCTCCTTCTCCAGAACCAACACGGAAAGAAAAAGACAAGAAAGGCTGCCATTGTGTCATTTTCTAAGAATCCCAGGAGTTTTAGCAACCAGCTGCCAGGCAAAGCCCTCTTCTTCTACTCACCTTTCAGTTTACATCCTGTTGGTACCTTTCTAGCCTTAGACACTCAAGTCCTACAGACGATCACCATGTTAGCCTTAGACCAAGAAGCTGGCTAATCCTTTCCGTGAAGCTAATACTATGGCCATTTCAAGACAACTTTAAAGGAAACACTAAGGCTGTTTTTAAGATGATCTGATTCCTTTAATAGACATATCTGGGCACACACACATACACATTCTTTTTTTAAGGGCTTGCATTTTAATAGGGTGAAACAGTTTGGGAACCTAAACTATTTGCTAAACTGAAGTCATAGGTTGTGAAATCATTTTTAACTTCTGGGAGTGTATTGCCTACTGTTACTTTAAATAGAAACATAGGGATTTTTTTAAAATGTGAATTTTTGCCCATCTTAAAAATTTTTGATGTCAACTTTAACCTGAAACACTGTATTAAATTTATAAAAGTGAGACATCTCAAATCTTCTGCTATAGCTTTTGTTTTTCAGTGGGCAAAATCTGAACTATTATGTTTATGGAATAAAAACTATCTATAAAGTCTTTATTATGACTCCTATTCCTGAAGATGATTATATGTGGAGAAATATTTGGGCTCATTCTAGATTTAGGCATTTTATTATTCTTATTTTTTAATTAAGCTCTTCTAATAGCCATGTTGAGGGTGTAAAAATGAATGATTTCTGTCTTCCTTTTCAAGTATTTCTGGATAAGGGATTCAATAAAACTAAAACTTTTTGTTTGATGTAATATAAAATATGGAGTTGATCTTTCAGGGTCAGAGATGATTAATGTTTTTGCTATATACTTTTATACATTATTTTCTTATCAAACTAGTTAACAAGTATTTTTATATGTTTGTAATCAAATATGCTTTCTCAGCATACCTTGTGTATATGTAAAGATAAGTATTTAATTCTCACTGTTCACTTTTAACTGACAAAGAAAAAAATGTGGAAGCTACAAAAACTGTGGTAGAACTTTACTTGCTCCTCCGGTCCTGATTGTCCCCACCTTTGGCCAGTCACATACGTACTCAACGAAACCTTTCCATTAGAGTCCAACTTTCCGGATGATGAGAATCTGAACTCACTTTCTTTATTCCTTCTGAGATTATTGACTGTCATATCAAGTATTAAATGTAAAACTTTGAATTGTCAATTAGTGTAACTGTGGTGGTGGCTTCTGATTTTCTTTTTGATTCTGTGGATTGTGTTTAAACAATTCGAAACTATGTTTCCTGATTTTGAGATACTAAGTGGTACTGCACAGTTGTCACTTTATTGAATGTGTACAACAGTCTCATGAAGTTTATAAAGCGTACCCTTGTTATAGCTTCAGGTGCTAGAATTAAAATTAAAATTGATCTATTATCACAAAATGATGCTTGTGTTCCCATTTTGTTATTTTTGTGGTTTGTTGAAGGAATGGGTGTTAGAGGAAGCTTATTTTAGTAACTATATGCGTTTCCCCCCCAAATTCCTTATAGTTTGAATCTGAAAATCAGCATAGTTCATTTAGCAGGTATAAACTGTAAGTGAAGCGACTTGGTGGGGTTGGTGAATTCTCAAATGTTCCTTAAGGTGGTGATAAACTTTTTCTATGAAATGCTCCTGACATAGACCCCCAGCTGGAGAGAGGAAGGCAAGTACACCCACACACCACTGTATGGATGAAGCTTGAACCATCTGAAGCAAAGCACACAATACATTTATTTGAAAAGTAATACAAAACCATAATTTTTGAAACTATATTTCACTATATTTACACTATAATTCAGAATATAATTGCTTTAACATAGAATTCTCTTTCATTTCAATTACAAAGGCATAATCTTGAGAGATAGGAGATGTCGAGAAACAATAGCTTCACGTATAATTTTGTTCAATAAGGTTTCTATGATTTTATAACAATACTTGTTGACTGACCCTGGTATTCATGAACATTCCATTCCTCTTGGTGAGTTACAAGCACCTCAAATGTGCATAGTCCCGTAGCCATACTTGGAGTCCTGTTGTGGCACTGTGGGTTAATGCACTGGACTGCAAAGTTGGTTTGAATTGCAAAAGCAACTCACCAGCCGCTCCTCTGAAACCCTATACAGGATCGTAGTGGGTCAGAACTGACTCGATGGCACATAACAACAACACAGTCATACTTAGTTATTTGGTTGGTGTTACAAAGACATGACTAGAAGAGTCATATGAAGTAATTCAAGACACTGAAGATACTTACTGTGTGTATATGTATAATAAATTGGTTTCTATCTAGAATGGTACTAGCTACATACTATCCTTGAGAGAAATGATAAAATAGTGATTCAAATCATCTTTCATAGGATTTAATTCTCAACCTTGGTTGAAAAATGCTGGTTGAATATTTGAAAATGGTTATTATGGTTTTTAATCTTTTTATGATGAATTGAGCAAAGGTTTACAGAGCAGATCATCAGTTTTGCATTCAACAAATCATACACTTCATCTCGATAACTGAAAGCCCCTCAATTAGCATCCCTTAACCCATTCCATTACCTCCCTGCATTTCTTGTTTCCATGGGCTGCATTCAGTCTTCCCAAGGAGCCTAGGAGTTTCACAGTGCAGGGACCCCAGATCCAAAGGACACATTCTGTCCTGGCTCTTTTCTCTTGGTATTAGGTCTCTCTGTGTTCTGTTCATCTCTCTCTTTCATATATCAAAAGAGATTGGCTCAAGATACAGTATAAGCCTGTAGAGTCCATCTGGCCTCATTAATGTCATAGAAGTGAAAATTTATACACACAGGAGAATTACATTAAATTAGAGCTGAGCACATCAGACCACATCATGGGGGTGATTGCACTATTAAGTCTCATCATGGAGGTGTTAACTACATCTTAACTGCTAAACTGAGAATCCAGGCCAAGCAACTTGACACAAAACCATCACTGTCCTAATGCCTACCTGTTGCTTGGCTGAAATTGGAGCCACAGGGTGAGTTCAGTTCCAGACCTGAAGAGTGACCCGGGACCATAGGCTCAGGGTTTCACCTGTCTCTATCCGATGAGTAAGCCGGGTTTTTTGTTTTTTTTTTTTTTTTTTTAATGATTTTGAGGTTTATTTCACATTTTCTCCCACTCTCCCACAACCTTGTAGTGTGATCCTTTTCCAAGCAGTTGGTAATGGTGCTAGTTCTTCGTCTCAGGATCTTTGAGACTGATGCTCCCATGGTCCATTAGTCTATTAGACTCATTGTTGCCAAGCAACTTCAGTTTCCATCACTCTACTTTCCTCAGGGACTTAAAATACTTACTGATGAAAATCAAAGAGCACAGCCTTCGGTATGGATTGCATCTCAATGTAAAGAACAAAAATCCTCACCACTGGACCAATAAACAACATTCTTATCAACAGAGAAAATATTGAAGTTGTCAAGGACTTCATTCTTCTTAGATCAATCATCAACATTCATGGAAGCAGCAGTCAACAAATCAAATGACATCTTGCATCAGGCAAATCTGCTTGCACAAGATCTTTTTTTAAAGTGTTGGAAGAGCAAAGATGGTCAGCTTGAGGACTAAGGTGCTCTGGACCCAAGCCATGGTATTTTCAATAACCTCATATGCATGCAAATGCTGGACAGTGAATAAGGAGGACCATAGAATAATTTATGCATTTGAGTTATGGTGTTGGAGGAGAACATTGAAAGTGCCATGGGCTGCCAAAAGAACCAATAGATCCGTTTTGGAAGAAGTGCATCCGGAGTGCTCCTTGGAGGCCAGGATGGCCAAACTTTGTCTCATACTTAGGACATACTGTCAGGAGGGATCAGTCACTGGAGAAGGATATCATGTTTGGTAAGGTCAGAGAAGAGGAAGACCCTCAGCGAGATGGGTTGGCAAAGTGGTGGCATCACTGAGCTCAAGCATGGCAACAATTGTGAGGTTGGCCCAGGGCATGTATTTTGTTCGGTTGTGCATAAGGTCACTATGAGTTGATACCGACTCAATGGCATCTAACAACAACAATTTTCCTCTGGACTAGGAGTGACCAATGGCTGCTCCTGAGCTTCCTTTCTCCCTCCCCCTGCAAGTTATGGGGTTTATTAGGAAAGTTAACAGGTTACAATATGGAGTCAAATGCAGGGCACAGTTGTTTCAATCAGCTGCTGATGCATGCCCGTAGGACACACCCCTCCACCGTAAATAAGCCTAGGTCTGAAGGCACTCAGTTCTAGTTCCCTGTGAGCTCCCCTATCTAAGTGCCTGGAGGCATCTCTATAAACAAGCTTCCTGCCCAAAGTCGCTCAGCTTTACTTACTCGGTGGGGGGACACCCACGTGCTGTCTGGTGCTCTGGTTCTGCTGCTGCTCCTCTGCCATTCTTCCAGTGTCACAGCTTTCTGTCCCTGGGTCGAGGAGGTCCAATGTTCAGGGATCTTGGGGTCCAAAGGGCACACTCCACTCCTGGCTCTTCTTTGATGGCAATGAGATATCCCCCCTGCTTCTCAGATGGCTTATTTTAAACCCATGCTAGAGTTTCAAGTCAAAGGACTCCTGGTGTGGCACTGTAGGATCAGTACTGGACTGCAAACCACAGGGTCAGCAGTTCAAACCTACTGACCTAGGAAACTCTATACAGGGTTGCTATGAGTTGGAACCAACCCGACAAACATCCACGGCTGAATTATGTCATCCTATTAGCAGTATCTTCTCCCACTTTCTCTTAACCAGACTCAGCAGGGCATAAATGTTCTTTGGAGGGCGTTACAGACTATGGCTAAGAAAGATATTAGGTAATATATACCACAGACCACCCCCTGGCTCTTCTAGTCAGTACCCCTCTCATACATGATGGATTGACTTGCCATATCATGTTAATTGTGAACACCCATGAGATCTTGTAAGCCAGATACTTCACCGAAGTAGGATGAAGAACACTGTCTTTGTGGGTTATGTCATGCCAATTGATTATGATGTCCGCTAAGAGTATGGTTCTAAGACGCAGGTCCAGTAACTCATTCCCTTAGGGCTTTGGTAATGTCTAAGATGTTTCATAGCTTCGCCTCCTGTATGCATTATCACATTCATGAGTATGTGTGCAGCAAAGGTAAATAATCCCATGACAAATACCTCCTGTCTAATCTTTATGTATTTTGTGGGTGTACTCCTATTCTTCCCACACCCATTCAGCCTGTATGTATCCATGTCTCTACACACAGATCCCTGGTATTGCAGGGTTGTGTCTCTAGCAGTATTTGCCTCTGTTGGCTTTAACTCTTGCATTCCTCCTGGTATCTTCCCATCATTCTTCTGCCAATCGCTCATATTTATTGTCTGTTGACTTCCCCTTTAACTCAAGTTAACATGTGTTTAACCTTTAGCCAGTGA